AATTATCCAATGAATTTATGTTGTTTTTAGCATTTGTAGAATCTAGTACTCCTTATTACTGGTTTTTGGTTTTTCTTGGTTCTTTTGGTATGTAATAATTTGGTGTTATGGTCTACTAGATATTGGATGTTATTTAATGGCATATTTTGCTAGATAATGGATGCCATTTGATAGCATATTTTGCTAGATATTGGATTGTTTTGGCGACGTATTTATTTCTTCTATTTTTGCTAAATATTGAAAAGATAGCTTATATTGTTAACTCACGTTCACGTATTTAAAAAAAAAATTATGGATAGAACCGAACCGAACCCGAACTCAAGGAAATATTTCCGATATCACTTTTCAGCAAATAAATTGGAGAAGGGACTCAATACAAAAAGAAAACATGGGAATTAAGAACGCAACACTTAACAAGAAATAATATATAGAGCATGTAAAGAAGCCTTATGAAGCAGCTGTAATAAGAGGGCAACTAAGGCAGTGTTATTTTGCTTAGTCTAAGTAATTATGATTTTCCTTGAAGATGTTGGTTATGAGAAAAAAGTACCTTGAAACCCAACTTGGACATTGAACCGAAAATGGTCAAAAGTTACAAACAAGGTTGAACTGGAGTTACACCAGATGCAAAAAATAAATAAATGCATACACGCTAAAAATTAGAAGAGTTTTAGATTTTCATATAAATAATTCAATTTCAAAGTAAATTTAAATTCATTTTTATTAATTGGATTTATTAACAAGTTTTAATAAGAACAATTGAAATAAAGACAATAATGAATAAGGCAAAGTGGCAAACATTGAAAATTTACTTCGCTGGAGGTAGTAGGACGGGACACTTTAGTTAGTCTCCGTGGATCGCTATAGATTAGAGTATAAACATCTTCAAAAGGAGTAATAGATACTGATTGGTCATAAAGCTGGCATGGTGCACACGCAGTGCCTTTTAGGCTTGGGAAATTTTTTGAAAGAGAACCGTATAAGCCGGGAATACCATGACTGGTTCAGCCGGTTCAAATGTGAACCGATCAGTTGAGTATTTATTTTTTACCCATTTTTCTATATCCGATTTATAACACATAGACAGACCAACTCCTCGCCCAGTTCCCGATTTCAGGTTGAACAGCCACAATATTAGTAAAATTTAGAAAAGTTGAGTAGAATTAAATGGCTATCTGTTAAAGTCTCATTCGGCTAATGCCTCGTATTATTTCTTTGGTCCTAATATCTTGGTTATTCATCCATCTTAAGTCTTAAAAGAAATAATCCTAAATAAAAGCTTGTATTTCAACAGATTGTTTACATTTACTATCACAAACAAACAAATTTTTCGACGTAACCATATCCAATAAATTTTAGCAATTGAAATCTGCCTCAAAGTTTAAACCAAAAAGTATTCCAAGATGTAAAATGAAACATGGTGCAAATTACATAGGAGATGACGTCATTTTGAATCTTTAGATTCTTTACCTCTGTTCTGTAACGGGTATCAGATGGTGGCAGCTTTAATTGTGCCTTCCAATCTTGTGAACTGAAGATGAAAATAGAGAATGATGGGTAAGATTGTGTGAAACAAGAATATTTGTACACATTAAAAATTTTACAAAACAGAAAGCAGCTTTTACAAAGTACAACTAGAAAAAAAGTTTAAAAAATGAAGCCAAACTCAGAGCATAAATCTTCGGAAGAAAAGAGAATAGTGAATCAAAAAACAGCAAAAGGATTCCCCTTCCCAGCATTTTTAAAGCGAGATGTTTAATCCCATAGTTTTGACCATGTATCCTTGAATTTCATGAACTCCATCATCAGCACGCTCCATTCCCGAAACAAATTTCTCATAAAGAGATTGACAAAACATAATCACTTCAGATGAAAAAAAAAAATGAATTCGGGTGACTAAGATGACAGCTCCTTAAGAGTACGAAACACAGTAATAGCAATAATTATAAGGAAACTTTTTTGAAGAAAAGCATAGCAGACAGGACAGTTCTCCTTGATATGGAACCATCCACAAAATCAAAACTAGTAATATACAGACCAATCGCACATTCAATATCGCAGCTCAAAATTCCAGGAGCTTCCATGATAATTTGAAACCAAGTAACAGAATGTTGATCATGCTCCAGCTCACCAGCTCATCTTGCAACAACTCCGGCTCAATCATGCTCCAGCTCAATTCAGTTAGTTAGCAATGGAAGTTGATCACACGTGTCATCATTGTATTGGTGTAAATATTAGTTAGCTGGTTAGTTAGTTCAATTCTTGTTGTATATTTATACACGGATTTAATGTACTTGTACATCGAGTTTTCTCATTTTTTCAATACAATTCAATCTTCTTCAATTCAATATACCAGAGCATTTTGCTTCCTCATCACCATAACTCCGTTGTTTTTTTTTTTAAAAAAAGCTTCTTTTCAATCTACATGGCAGAAGCTGAAATTCTTAATCAATCATCTAATTCATCTTCAATAAGTAATTTCGCTATTGATGATGGAACAAGCCCTTATATTACTTGCATCACTCAGATAGCCCAATGTTAATTGTATCACAACCATTGGTGGGAGACAATTATGCATCATGGAATCGTGCTATGATAATTGCCTTATCCGTGAAAAACAAGCTAGGATTTATTGATGGATCCATAGCTAAACCTGAAGATAATCCTGAGTTGATGAAAGTTTGGATCCGAAACAACAATATTGTTATTTCATGGATCCTCAATTTGGTGTCTAAAGAGATTTCAGAAAGTGTTATATATGTTGATTCAGCACAAGAAATATGGGAAGAACTTAAGGAGAGATACCAACAGAGAAACGGTCCTCGCATATTCCAATTGAGAAGAGAACTAATAAACCATATTCAAGGTCAATCATCTGTGAGTGTCTATTTCACAAAACCCAAAACCATTTGGGAGGAACTCAGCAACTATAGGCCGGTTTGCTCTTGTAGAAAATGTAATATGTGATGTCATTTATCATGGGATTAAATGATTCATATGCTCAAGTAAGGGGGCAATTGTTGCTTATAGATCATATTCTATCGATAAACAAAGTATTTGCTCTCATTTCTCAAGAGGAACATCAGAGATCTATTAATACAAATGCATATGGCGGCACTGATAATATGGCCTTCTATATTAAAAAAATGAAGGCGAGAAGTCCATTTTAGGTAAGTCACACAATAAATTGCAAAAGAAAGATAGACATATCTATACCTACTGTGGATATGCGGGACATGAAGTTGATAAGTGTTATAAGCTTCGTGGATATCCACCAGGATATAAACCTAAATAGAAATCTAGAATTGGCTCTAATTCTCGAGCAAATCATGTTGCGGTCAATTAGGTTTCTAATTCATTCCCAGAACAAGGTGGTGGTAATGTTGAGGAGTTTATGCAGACCTTGAATCATACTCAATACCAGCAACTGATGAATATGTTGAACAATCATCTTTCAAATGCAAAGACCAATACTGAGATAGGTAACAATGAGTCTAGCCACATCTCGGGTACTTGTTTCTCTATCTCTCTCAATCATATGTTGAGTTCTCATACATGCTGGGTAATGAATTCAGGAGCTACAAGTCATATATGTTTCAATCAATCACCCTTTCATACTTTAAGACCAACCAAGAATGCCTAGATTACTATGCCAAATCATGAAAGGATTCCTGTAAACTTCAATGGAACGGTAAAGATTACTCATGAACTGGTGCTTGAGAATGTGTTATATGTTCCTCAATTTAAATTCAACCTATTGTCTATCAGTTCACTGACGAAAAATTCACCTATCAAAACCACTTTTCTCACTGATTGTTGTATTATTCAGGATCTGGACAACTTGAGGATGATTGGTAAGGGTAATAGAATGGATGATCTCTACATATTGGATGCTGCATTATCTAAGTCTATTTTAAATGGCTATAAAAGTTTCAATTCTGTATGTTTATTGCAAATAATGTGACCTCAAATACTTGGTATCATAGGCTTGGTCACCTATCTTTTCAAAAATTGGATATGATGAAAGAACATTTGAATATTACGTGTAATAGATACAAGGATTTTATTACAACTCCATGTGCTATCTGTACATTGGCTAAGCAGAGGAGAATGTCATTTGTTTCTTACAACCATCTATCTAAGAATGCATTTGATTTGACCCATTGTGATACTTGGGGTCCATATCATGTTCCAACATATGCTGGCCACAAGTTTTTTTGACATTGGTTGATGATTGTACACGCTTTACATGGGTATACCTTATGAAGCATAAATCAGATGCTAAAACCAGGTTCTTTACCTTGATTGAAACTTAGTTCCATACAATCATTAAAAAGTTTAGATCTGATCATGCTCCAAAGCTTCAGTTTGCTGAATTTTTTACCTCAAAATGGGTAATTCATCAATATTCTTGTGTTGAAAGGCCTGAGCAAAACTCGATTGTAGAGAGAACATTGATATGCAAGGTCAGGAAAAGGATCAATCAGTATTATAGACAATATCAGTGGCTGATTTGGGGCATAACAATATCAGCCACTCAAGACTGTGCCTAAGGATTCCAGGGATGCTATATAAGCTTGATATTCAGAAGGCTTATGACCACGTGAACTGGGGGTTACTTCTGTATATGCTTAGGCGATGTAGATTTTGGGATAAGTGGTGTAAGTGGATTCGGTTCTATATCGCTACTATTTCATTCTCAGTTTTGGTCAATGGTACCCCCTGAGGGTTATTTTCTGAGTAGCAGAGGGTTGAGGCAAGGAAATCCATTGTCTCCATTGCTGTTTGTTACTGTAATGGATAATCGAGAAAGCGAGGTGGGAGAATTTGATAAAGGGATTTACGGTTGGTCAACTGCAGGTGTCTTACTTGTTATTTGCAGATGACACGCTGATTTTATGTGACGCGAATGAGAAGCAATTCAGGAACTTACGCCGGTTGCTCCTATGCTTTGAAGATGTGTCTAGATTGAAGATAAATCTATGAAAATCTGCGGTTATTCCAGTAGGGGGAGGTTACTAGCATGGAGGAACTAGCTGTTATATTGGGTTGTAGGGTTGTGCAGTTACCTATGTCATATCTAGGGCTCCCTTTAGGGGCACGGTTTAAAAGTAATAATATTTGGAATGCTATTGTGGAAAAGGTGGAGAGGAGGTTAGCGAGGTGAAAGCATATCTATCTCTCGAAGGGAGGGCCATCTTACTCTCGTTAAATCCACTCTATCAAATATCCTTACTTATTTTTTGTCACTGTTTCATATTCGCAAATAGATTAGAGAGGATTCAAAGAGAATTTCTTTGGGCGGGGTTGGGAGAGGAAACTTCATTTGGTTAATTGGGTAGTTGTCTATTCTCCTATGAGGATGGGGACCTCAAATTGAAGAGCTTTATTTTGTTTAACAAGGCATTATTGGACAAATGGTTGTAGCGGTTTGGAGTGGAGAGGGAGAGTTTCTGGAGAGAAATCATTGGGGCAAAGTATGTTGTGATGGAGGGGGGCTGATGCTCAGGTGAGGGTCGTGGTTCTTACAGGTGAGTTTGTGAAGGTATATTAGATGAGGATGGAGCGACCTTCAGGATATACTGACTTTTGTGGTAGGGAATGGTAATAATATCAAATCTTGGGATGATTGTTGGTGTGGAGATACACCGCTAAAGGTGGGATTTCCTTCCTTGCATCGCATTACTATGGTGTCTTCTGCTATGGTGAATGACGTTTTAGTCATCCACAATGGGAGTTACAGTTGGAAAATTACTTTTCAGAAGAGTTTGCAAAATTGAGAATTGGATGATTATACACTGTTTTTAACCTATTTGTAAGAGGTGCAAATTCGGGTAGGAGAGGATGATCGTAGCCGATAGAGGTTGGCACAGAATGGTATTTTTTTAGATCGCTCTTATTTTAGATCCTTTTTGGAACCTGTGAAGAGTTCATTCCCCTGGAAGATGGTATGGCAATGTAAATTGCCTCCACGGGTGGCATTTTTATTGTGAACGGTTGTGAGGGGACAAGCATTAACGATGGATAACCTTCGAAGAAAAGGATTTTATGTAATCGAGTGATGCTATATGTATAGGAGTGATGGGGAGACGCATGACCACTTGTTCATTCACTGTGACGGTGTTTGTTGGCTGTGGAATAGTATTCTGGCTTCTCAACATACAGATTGGGTGTTGCCTAGACGTATAGAGGACATGTTGCGGGCATGGAGAAGCAAACTTTGTGATAAAGATAGCAAGCTTGTATGGAATCTTATCCCGGGATCATTGTATGGTGTGTGTGTGGAGAGAAATGAACAACCGATATTTTGAAGACCAAACATGGATCACAGAGCAAATTAGAAAATTATTTTATGTGACTTTGTATAGTTGGTTTAATGTCGCGGCTAGTAATCCTATAGATGGGGCTGCCTAACTTCATGTCTTTTCTTTCTTGTTTAAATTGATAATACACTCATGGTTTGAAAAAACGTAAACGGGTATTGAGGCGTTTTTTTGTCACGAGGCGAGGCGTAAGCCTCAAAACGTTTTGAGGCGTAAGCCTCATCAGAAACAAAATAACTTAAGTTGAAAAATTAGAAAATAAAATATTAATTTTTTGAAACTTCAATTAATTTTTTTCCCAAAAACTTCATATGTAAAATTAATCAAAAATATTATTTGATTATTTATATTTTGTCAAGTTTTGAAAAATATTAATTTAAAAAAAAATTTATGTACGTTGATTTTATAATTATCTGCCAATTATTTTGGTCAAAGTAAAATCATATTTTAAATTGTTTTAAAATTTTGTAACAACATTAATTATGATATTTTTTTTAAACTAAAATGATCTTGTCTAGATTAAAAGAACAAAAAAATAATTAAGAAATAGTAAATATCGTGTAATTTGCTCATCCAATAATAAGGCTGTAAAATTTGAAAAAAAATAAATTCAATCAATAAAGATGTAATATTATAAATATATTTTTACAACAATGGATAAACTTCTTTTAAAAAAAAAAAAGCAACTAATTAAAGCCCAACCCAACTAAAAACAGCCCAAGCCCAACACCCCTTTCTTCTTCTTCTTCAACCCTACGTCTTCTTCAGTTTTCTCTGGCGCAGTGCAGCTGTGCAGTTCACTGATAAAAGAACAAAAAGCATTCTGGCCAGCAGCTTCTTCCTTCTTCCTTCTTCTTCTTCCTTCTTCTTCTTCCTTCTTCCTCTTCTTTAAAACCTGAAAAAAACTTGAAAAAAAACATACTAAAAATGAGGCGCACGCCTCATTTTTTTTGCTTCAGATGCAGAGGCGTGCGCCTCATTTTTTCCTCCTCGAGGCACAGCAGCTACGCCTCACACTGAGGCGCGCCTCAGTGCGCGCCTCAGCAACGTTTTTTCATTCCATGAATACACTTCTTGTGTATTCTTTCTTAATTAATAAAATGATCTGATTACCTATCAAAAAAAGGATGCAAATGGGTGTTTAAAATCAAGTACAAATCTGATGGCAGTGTTGACAGATATAAGGCACGTTTAGTAGCAAAAGGTTATACTCAACAAGAAGGCCTCGACTTCATTGAAACCTTCTCTTGTAGCTAAGTTGGTCACGGTCAAAATATTTCTTGCCATTGCAGCCATTAATAAGTGGCAGATCATCCAATTGGATGTAAACAATGCTTTTCTAAATAGTGATCTCTTTGAAGAAATGTATATGGACTTACATTTAGGTTATACTAAGCATAACACCACTGCTGCACAAAGAGAGAGGTTGGTATGTAAATTACACAAATCAATATATGGCTTAAAGTAAGCTTCAAGATAGTGGTTTTCAAAATTCTCTACTGCTCTCTTTACACATGGTTTTACCCGGTCCAAATCTAATTATTCTTTGTTTATTAAAGGCTCTAAAGATACATTTGTTGCTTTATTAGTCTATGTTGATGATATTATCATCACCGGGTCGGATTTGAAGACCATCAACTCCTTAAAAATTCTACTGCACGGCTTATTCAAATTGAAAGATCTTGGATATTTGAAATATTTTCTTAGTTTGGAGATTGCATCCTCACAAAAGGGTATTTTCCTCTCTCAGCGACAATGCACTGCAATTATTGGAAGGCACTGGTTTTCTAGGTTATAAATCATCTCTTATACCCATGGATCCAAAGGCTAAACTTTGTACATTTGAGGGGGAGCCCCTTGCATATGCTTCACTATATAGAAAGCTCATTGGTCGTCTTCTAGACCAGACATTACCTTTGTTGTCCATAAGTTGAGCCGATTTGTTGCCCAGCCTAGACAACCACACTTAAATGCAAATCAACATTTCATGCGATATATCAAAACTGCTCCAGGACAGGGAATTCTATTTTCAGCTTCCTCTTCATTTTAACTTCTTGCATTTAAGGATGCCGATTGGGGTGATTGCTTGGGTACCAAAAAATATGTAACAATTTTGTATCTTTCTTGTTCATTCCATGGTTTCTTGGAAAGCTAAGAAACAAAGCACCATTTCAAGATCATCAGCAGAAGCTGATCTTGTTTTAGCCTCTACAACCGGTGAGCTCGTATGGGTACATCAGCTGTTGCAAGACTTTCAGATTGCTATCAACACTCCTGCACTCATTTTTTGTGACAACTAAGCTGCTATACATATTGCAAGTAATCCTACATTCCATGAACGAACCAACCACATTGAAATAGATTGCCACTTCATTCGATATAAGATAAATGATGGTTTTGTCAAGATGCTTCCAGTTCAAACACAGCATAAGTTGGTAGATATATTCACTAAACCTCTTCCTGCAAATTTATTATTCCCTTTATTATCCAAGATGATTGTCATCAATCCTCATTGTCCATGTTGAGGGGGAGTAACGGAATGTTGATCATGCTCCAGCTCACCAGCTCATCTTGCAACAACTCCAACTCAATTCAGTTAGCTCAATTCAATTAGTTAGCTATGGAAGTTGATCACACGTGTCATCATTGTGTTGGTGTAAATATTAGGTAGTTGGTTAGTTAGTTCAATTCTTGCTGTATATTTATACACGGATGTAATGTACTTGTACATTGAGTTTTCTCATTTTTTTTCAATACAAAATTCAATCTTCTTCAATTCAATACCAAGTAATAGCAAGCATTAAAAAGAAAAACATTTTTTAAATATCGCATAGCCGACAGGATAATTCTCCTCGATTTGGAACCGTCCATAAAATCAAAACTAGCCAAATACAGACCACTCGCACAATCAATATTGCAGCTCAAAAATTCCAGAATTTCCTTGACAAGCTCATAACCCTACCTCTGGAAAGAAAAGAAAAGAAAAAACACTAAATAGTTAAAGGAAAACAATTTCTTTCGTAAAACAAAAAAGATCCTGGTTCTAACCTTGAATCTATAGCTTCCGAATGCATGGCCCTTTCGACCTCATTGCCTGCCGTATCGGCCGGCGACGGAAGCTGAGTCCTTCGAATCAACTGCTGTGGCTGCGGGTTCTGAAATGCCTGATTATTCGGCGCAGGACTCCTCTGCACGTACTGATGAGTAGGATTTCTTGGCTGAAACCCATAATTTGGTCCAGTATTCATGTTCATTCCCCCACTACCGCCGCCTCGGCCGCCTCCCATCCCCGGCGGCGGATATCTCGCTCTCGAACTCATTGCTAAATACTAACCCAACAGAAATGTGTATACAAATATACACAAAACAAAATTTGATGCGAATTTTTGGGTTAGGGTTTTTCAAAAAATCTACGCCTAAAGAGAAGAAAATGGTTAAGATTTAAGATTAATTAGAAATGGGATCGAAGAAATTTGAAATTGTTGAAAAGGGAAGCGCTGAGAATGAGAGTAATTGGAGAGTAAAATGGGATTATTCGATATTTCGACCGTTCTAGGGCTCACGGGAAGGATTTTTACGCATTTCCAAATGAGCGATATAAATATAAAAATAAAATTATTTGTCAATATTATTTTTTCCCTGTTTGTTCGGCATTATTGTTTTCTTTTGCAGAAAAATATTTTTCTATTTTTATCGTGTGACCGTATGTTCCTTGAAAATAAGGAAGGAATTTTCTTCAGAGAGAGATAATTTTTATTGTTCAAATAATTCACTCTCTCTTCTCATCTATTCATCAATAAAAGATGAACAAGTATATTTTTTATAAAAATTGAAAATTACATCAATCAAACACATTTAATTAATAATTTTCATACAAATAAGTTATAAGCAATTGAATTACCTAGAATTGAATTGTCTAAAATTTATTTTTTTTCATGCAAATTCTATGCTAGCAATTAAACGCATCATTAAAGTGTATTTGATTGGCTCTGTTCTCTTTGTATTTCAGTTTTGTATTTTGAGTGTTCATTTTGAGATTATTGAAAATGTGTTCTTTTTGACATTTTGAAAAATTATTTTAAAAACACCCCAAAATGCGTTTTGAAAATTTTGACTTGATTATAACTGAAAACATCAAAAACGACAAATTTGTCGTTTTAGATTTTCTTTGTAAATTTTTAACTTATTTTCAAAAACGCATTTTCGAAAATAAGAAAGAGAACGCATTTTCACTATTTTGAAAAATCGAAAATAGAAAACAATTTGAAAATGGTAAAAAAAAAAAAAAATAGACCCTTACTTTTTGGGAATTTCCATGAAAAATATTTTCCAACTTTTAGTCATGTAACCATGTTTTTCTCAAAAATAAGATAAATATTTTCTTTATGGAGTAATGATTTTTATTTTCCAAATAATTCACTTTCTCATCTATCCCACATCTCTCATCTATCCCCCTTTTCATCTACCAACCAATAAAAATAGATAAGTATAATATTTTTTATATTGAAAGCTAAATCAATCAATTACATTCAATTAATAATTTTTATATAAATAAGTTCTAGATTGTAACGCCCTGAAATTTTATGTAATAGAAATTTTTGGTCTAGCCAAGTCTTTATGCAAGTCATTGGTTATGCCTGGTATCTTATTTGGATCTATATGAATATCCTTATAGTTGAGAAAACAAATATAAATTTTATACTTTTATTTAGTTGAGTCAAAATGGTTAACTGTTGATGGAGTTAATTACCTTATCAATATTAGACTCTTTTCGAAACACAAATTAAATGATGAATTATGGACTCGTCTGATAGATCATAATTAATTATGTGTATTAGAATTTAGATGAAATTAATTTGGATAAGATCGAATTAAATTAGAGCGATCAAAGAATATTATGATAAATGAATCTCAAGAAATTAATTCATTTAGTAGTTAGACGTGACTTTATCCCAATCCACGATTCCCTCATTAATTTAGTTGAAGTAGAATTTGGAGTCGGTCATAATTAAGCAAGAGTTTTAATGATTAAGTCCTAGTGTAATCAATTCTATGGAAGTCGTCCATCTTTTGCTCTTGGTTTGATAAAGACTACTTTTGTAGAAATCAAATAAGAGTTTGATTATTTAGTTATTTAAATTGCTTGTTTGCATTAAAATAAGCCTTATATCCAATGGAATTAGGAGTCCAACTTGTTTGCATTAATGTGTGCATGCAGGATAATGATTACTTAATTGGGATTAAATCAAATCAATTTTGGAAAAAACCATTCATGTTATGACGCGTCATGCAATTATTGTGGAATTATATGTATTTGACATCACTTGTATTATCCAATACAATTGCACTAATTAAATAGTCATTTATCTACATAATCTAGGATAATAACTAATTGACTATAATACAATCTTAACCCTAATCAACTGCTTTACCTTTACCTATAAATACTAATGTCGTGCACACATGTTTGCCAACAACCCCAATTTTTTTTAACTTTGTTTCATTCTTTGAATTCAGCAGAAACCCCTATTGTATTTATATTCTACCAAAATTCATTTGCTTCTTTATTTTCATCTAATATATGCACATACACAACAACAGTAGCGTAGGCAGAAAATAAAAAATTTGGAACGTGATTTCTGGATTTTGTCTTTCAACATTCATTTGATCTAATAAGGTAGGATACTATATGCAAGTTGATTTGTCCTTACAATATTATTTTTTTTTTTACGTAATTTATTTCATGAAATGCTAATTAACCTAGGCCTGCACAAAAAAATTGTGAAACCGCAAATCGAAGCGAAGTTGTTGGTTTGGATTCACGTGGACCTGCGATTTTTCTCTTAGGTTTTAAATTTTAAAAACTGCAAAAAATCAAACTGAACGGCACTTTTTTTAATTAAAAAAATATTTTTATTAAATTATAAATTCTCACATATAAATTTTATTAAAGTATAGTTTTTAGAATTTAAAGTATACTTTTTTAGAGAGTACAAATTTAATTAACCTAACTCATGCATAACAAACAAGTCAGTAAGTCATTGTCATTAGTATTTAGTTGTGCC